GAACAGCAGGTGAGTCTAAGATGCTGCGGCTGTGTTCCTAGTGGACTGCACGACCAGCCTCCCTTCCAACCCAAGGGAGTGAAACAGGGTCGGGCAGGAGGCGGGACGGGGGGCCGCCCACAAACGACCCGACCTCGAGGCCCGCGCACAACCGGGCAGCCTCTCCCGTGACCACGTGGGGCTCCCTGCAGGGGCCAGGAGGCCTGTGGGGGACGAGGCGCTGCATGGAGGCGTCCGTCTCCACGGGAAAGCACCGCTGTGGAACCTGACCACAGCCGCACGCTCCCGCACCACCTGCCCCGTGGCCAGCCCGCAGAGACGGGACTGACACGCCTCTGCACGGGACGGGGCGCTGAGCACACAGGGTGCCCAGCAGGGCGTGGCCAGCACTAGGGCACTAGCCCCCAGCCTGGCCGAGCATCTGCGCTGTGCACAAGGGCGAAAAGGAGACCACAGGTGGAGGCAGAACCGAACGCCAGGCCCAGCGTGGCCACCTGCAGCCTGGGCTCGGGGTCGCTTGTCCTTTCCCAGCAGAACAGCCCGCTGAGCGAGCCCTGTAGTTCTGGGGCTGTTCCTATGTGGCGGCTTCCGTGGACACGGGGACGGCAGGGAAGGGGCGGGCGTGGCAGCAGGAGGCTCTGGCTGCTGCACGGCCCCAGCCCCGGCCGAGGACCAAGGAGTCAGACACACACGTGAGCCCCAGGAGCCAACAGAGGCAGTGCACCCCACAGCCGGGGCTCCTGGTCCAACACCCCCGGGTTCTCTGCCAGTAACAAGGCAGACAAAGGCTGTACTTGTAGGTAATTGAAGAAAAACACGGCACCGCCCCCCACCCGTAACCTCACTTCTGTTGCCCGTGACTGGTCCCATCACCCCTGGCTCCCACCTGCCCGCCAGTGGTGGGCACTAAGGGTTAGGGCCCTTGACAAGTTCAGATGGTGGGCTGGGCGTGAAGAGACCCACCGAGCCCACCCCACACAGGAAGCCACCTCAATCCCTGGACCAACTCGGCTCTTTCCAGAACAGCTCCTGCCTCTCGGGAAACCGCCTCTCAGAGGCCTCCACGGACAGGACAGCGCGTTTCTCCTGGCCGCGCCGAGCCCCGCGGCTGGGTGCTGCTACTGCGAGTTCATAAATGCCTGCAGGCCCTCACAGCCGCCCGAGGCCAGTGTCGGGACCACCTCCCAAGGCCGAGCGTAGGGCCCGCCCTCCTGGCGCTCCCTAGCTCCCTGGCCCGGGAACCGGAGACGAACTGAAGCAAAACTGAACATGCCGACGGGCGTGAAGAGCAGCGACAGGGATAGGGCAACAGAAAACATATACATACTACAGGCAACAGGCACCGCAGGCCACATGAGCTCCTGCGTGCGCGACCTCCGGCCTTGTGGGTCCACGTACAGTCCCATGTGGCTGAAGCAAAGCAGGTACTCCTCGCTTTTGAGCTCCACAGCACAAAGGGCGTCAAAAGACTGCTGTGAGAGGAACGCAAGCGAGGGGTCATGGGGATTTACCAGCGGCAGGGCCTGCCCATCTCCCTGGAGGCTCAACAGAGAGAACCCCGAAGGGTAGCCAACACAGAGCTTGTCCTTGAGCACGGCCATGCACTGCACGCTGCCAGGGGCCGTGAGCTCCGTGACCTTCCTGTGGAAAGGCCGGGTCCGCTGGACCTCATAGCACAGGACCAGCCGCTTCACCGCCACGAGCAGGCAGGTGGCCGCACTCTTCTTCAGCGTCGCCGTGGCGAGGAGCTGGCAGCCCTTCGTTTCCGGAAGCTTGACGTCCACGTTGCTTTCTGTGCCGTCGAAGGCAGACCACGGGCAGAGGTGGACATGGTGGTTCCGGCCACAGAGGAGCACGGCGACCTTCTCCTTGGGGGCGAGCTCGATCTGGTAGACTTTCTTGTAGTCAGCGACGCGGACGATCACTGCAGGGAGGGCGGGCGTGAGGCCGAGGCGGGGGGACCGCAGGGCCCACCCCTGCTCCCGGCGCTGCTCAGCACCCTCCACCCCTTCCCAGGCACCCAGGGCCCCATGTGCCCAACGTCACTGCTGTCGCAAGTAAGCGGTCTTGGCTGCAGCCTTCCCGCTCGTTACAAAGCTTCTGATGGGGGCGACGGATCTGCCCAGTGACGTCGTCTCAGTGTTCACAAGTTCCCACGGCCAACGCTGGGCCAGCACAGCAGACAGGCCGCACTCACCATCACGGGTCACCTCGATGACGTAGAGCCCTTCTTCTAAGCCGACCACAATCCTGTCGCCATCTGTGAGGCAGAAGGAAGAGAACAGAAAGTGCGTCAGCTGTGGGCCCGGCCTGTCCCTCCCTGGACGTGGGAGCAACGGACTCTAATTGGAACGACGGTGAGGACAGCACGCACCCAGCACGGCGGCTGCCAGCACGGCCTTGATGAGCGGCAGCGAGGAGTCGTAGGCCTCCTGTGGGATGTGCACCACCTGGTTTCGCAGGCGGTTCTTCTGTAGGATGGACTGCAGTCCTTCCAGAATCCCAACCCACTTCCTCTTCTCGTTCTCGTTCTCTGTCAGAATGAGCAGTGAGCTGGTCTTAGAAGGTGAACCTAAGAGAGAGGCCGTCACCTTCAGGGCAGAAAAGAAAACAGGAGAGCTGTAAGCCGGCAAGCACGGCACCGACGCCCAACCGCCCGGCCTAGCCGCTGTCCGCCAGAGGGAGGAGCAGGAGGGCCAGGGGTTAAAGCTCGGCCGGCCCTGCTCCGAGGCCCCTCTGTGCTGTCCTCGGGACAGTAAGGGCGGCCCCGCTTCCCCGTCAGCTCTCAGTCGTCCTGCTCTTGCCCAATCTGGGGGGTCATGTCCATTCTAAGGTGCTTTCCTGAACGATCGTATTACACTAAAGAGGACCCTCGGAGCACATGCACAGGCGACAGGCTCTCACACAGCACAGGGCACCTGCACAGGCCCGTGCGGCTGCAAGGACAGGTTACATGCAGTGACGGCAAGTCTCTGCGTTGCATGAGGGGCTTTTTGCACAGAGACAAGCTCAACCAGAACTCCCGGGGAGGCACCGCTCAGCTCGGCGGAGGGACCCCCGCACACCCTGCCAGCGAGTGCGCAGGAGCAGGGCTGCCGGCTGCTCCTGTGTCGCTCCAGCTCCTGACCAGCAGGCCCGGGAGGGAAGGGAGGCCCCGCTGAGAGCGAGCACTGGCATAGGGCACTGCGATGGGGAGGGGAGGGAGGCGGCAGCGAGGGCAGAGGCTGGGCGGCATGTGTGTGAGGAGCCTGCAGCAAGGACGGGGAGGGGAGCCGGGCCTCTCCCACGGGCACTGGCCCCTCCGACGGCAGTGATACTCTCAGAGGGTTTCGTTTTAACCACGTGACTTTCTGTGATCAGCGAATCCTCTCTAACAGACAGAAGAGAACCATACCCTGAAGATACACGGAATGTCTCGTCGTGAAGCATGAATGACGTCAGAGGCCAGGACTGAGCTCACCGAGAACTCTTCATCTCTGCAAGAAACAGGACACTCAGCGCACGCACGGGCAGGAACACACAGGCGTGCACACCCTCCTGTGCTCAGATCTGACGAGAAAGGGCCCTTTCGTGACGGCTACGCTTCCTCTGGCAAAGCCGTCCAACCAT